TCTCATTTAACCAGCAAATAAAGAGACACAACTTGCATGGTGTTTAAAACATGAAAGTTGGACAAAAAATGATTAGGCAAAAGTATTATGGAGTGATGAATCGACCTTTACTCAATTTCAGCAAAGTTGTATTAGCAGAATATGAAGAGAACCAGAAGATGAATAGTCACTCTCTTGTGTTTCAGCCACAGTTAAACACAGCCTAAGTCGCATATTTTAGGATTATTTTTCACGAAAAGGGATGAGACTGATTGTACTACTTTATGGATCAGCAACTGGAGCTACTCACATTAAAGTACTGCGAAAATATGTTTTATCTATAATGAAGCACATGTTTTCAAGAAACAATGGTTTGTTTCAAGAAGATAATGCTAGACCTCATAAAAAAAAGGTTGCATCATCATTTTGTGCAAAAAAAATCTGCATATTCTTTCTTAGTTCGCTTAAAGCCCAGACCTTAACCCAATTGAAAATTTATGGATTGAAGTAAAAAAGAAAATTAGAAATAAAAAGAAAAAGCCAACCAACCTTGCTAAACTTGAAAGGGATATTAAAAATGTATGGAAAGCAATTCTGAAATGTCTAATCGAAAATTTAGTCAATAGTATGTTAACACGAATTCAAGCGATGATTACAGCAGAAAGTGATCCAATTAAATACTAATTTAATAATACAAAATGTAGGTTTTGATAAGCTTAAAATAAAGTTTTAATAAAGTTTTTTTGATTGAGTTTAAAAATTAAGCATTTTATATTGCATAAAAATTCGTTCGAAAACTTTTGATAATTTTCTGTAATATCTATTACTATAGTTAAAAAAAAAGCAAATCATTGTCATTGCTATATAAACAAATTTGAATAAAGTTTATCAACATCAAGGTTATTGGCTACCTTATGATGTATAAATTATTCTTTACAATCAGTGTTCTTTTTTGGAACGCACACACATTTTTATGATATGATTTTTTACTGACTCAAATATAAAAAGGCCTATTCATCCAATTTCAGGGATGTGTCCCAACCTAATTTAATTGCGAGAGGATCATCAGTTACCTTAGTAAAATCGAAGACCACAAAATCCTGATCTTGCAAATATTTGTTAATAATTTTAAATGTTTTTTAGATTATCCGTATATTAATGCATAATTCTGCATATGTTTTCTCGAGATTCACTCCCTCAGAACATAACTAAATGGCTCAGATTTTTATGAATTATCTTTGACACAACTTGATATTTTTGGGTCACATATATTGGTGAGATATTTTGATGTTGTCCACTAATAAAATAAGGGATGATGCGTTTCTGCATCTTTTTTGATTCAACACAAAGATCTTCAAATACAACAACTGTACTTTGACCTGAAATGAATTTAGTTATATCAGGAATCCTATCAGGCATTATTCTTTTAAATGTGATATCCTCTCAATATAGTTTTTGGCTATTCGCAAAGATCTGAAAACTAGTTTGTACTAATTATCACTTCAGCTCAGTATGTTTTCCTACCAATATAAGGTTATCATTCTTAATATACCACTCCCTTTTTTTTCCTTTAAACATGCACTGGAATTTATTATCAAGCATAAGATTTACAACTATATTCGTTTTTCTGCTATGAGATCCTCCACAGACTAAAAGGTTAAAGGCTAATCTAACGCAAATCTATTAAATTTCATATACTTTAAAGATTCTTTAGGTATCTCACCAATGGCGTATATGTATATAGGCATATTCTTCTCTTTCATTCTAATTAAACCAAGTAATACTAAATTATTATATAAAAAAATAAGGATTTAATGAAATACAAGCATTTAAAGTTTCGTCTTTATTCTATAAGTCCCAATTTTCAGAGATGCTTTAGAATAACTATGTGTGAGTCTTCATAATACTAAACATACCTTAGGACAATCTGATTTTCTTCACATAATCTTTCTTGAGCTGATCCTAAGCTAGTAGATTATTGAACCCTTCTAAAGTTCAGTGAAAATGTTCAATGTAATGCTTATATTACTTTCCTTGTATTTCGATTGCAAATCCATATTCATAATAGGGAATATTAAGTTCTAATCCTTTAGGGTGTTTAGGAATTTTCAAAAAATCTGGTTTGTGTTTTTCAGATGGTAAACCAAGATACTTTACTACAATCTCTCGACACAATCTTTCATTTTTATATTTGGAGCAATATAAACATCATGTATTATCATTTTTTATATGAGAAAGAGAAGCATACCATTGATGATCTTTATTGCATCTCCAGAATAACTAACTATTGCAATCAATATAAGAATCTGACAAACATTTCCCATCCTGATTATATGTAATATCTTTAGCTACTGAAATATTGAGTTTTATATTAGTACAATGTGAATACCAAGAGTTATTATTCTTAATAGTATTAATAGGAGCATACTATTCATGTGATTTGGAGCATTTCCAATGCAAATATATTCTAAAGTTAGTATATACATTGGATAAACACTCTTTGTTTTTACTATTTGCTAGCTTTTTAGCATATTCGATACTAAGTCTTATATTTTCATATACACAATATAGGCACTAAGTTCCTCTTTGAATACTATCAATTCGAGAAAGCCATGAATGACCTTTAGAGTATTCTTAAGAGAGTGAAGTATGTCTGTTATAGTAAGAACTAAAAAAACATGTTCTATTTCTTTCATTTATGAGATTTTGAACAAATTTAAGTCTAAGTTTTATACATTTCTGACACCAATTTCCTTGATTTTTAACACTTGCAAAAGAGAGATGGAATTTATGTTTATTTTCATATTTCCATAAGAGAGGTAAACTATTATTAACATATTTTTCTGAAATGCATTTCCCATTTCTTGCATATGCCAATTTTTGAGTTACCGAAATGCTAAGCTTTCTATTTATGCAATAAGAATACCATAAATGACAATTTTTGATAAAATCAAATGAAGCAGTCCATTGATGATTTTTATTACACTTCCAGAGCATTGGAGTATGGTTATTAATATATTCTTTAGAAAGATACATACCTCTATAAGATTTTGCTATTCCTATTGCATCATTTAAAGATAGTTTGGCTATTATTACTAGTAAGATGTGTTTTTATTAGCTGTCTTATTCTTTAAAATCTCATTAATATGGTATACAAGCCTATCAATAGGCTCAAACTTTTTTATTTTCATCTCAAAGTAACTATTACTAATAATATATTAAAATAATCTTGCAAATTTGTGAGATTGCGTAGTCTCAAAAAAATGCCAAAGATAATTCTCTCTGATCTAACTTGAAGAATTACTCAAGAATCCTTTTTCGATAAGTATATGCTTAATATAGGAAAAAAGATCAGCAGTATAGGGAACTTCAATAAGGCATATATCTTGGTCCTTGCATATATTCTGCTTCTTCTAATTACGCATATTTTGTGATTTTAGATTTTCATTTTTCTGGTGGTAGAAGCTATTGTAGTGATAATATTGAAGACCTTAGAATTCGAATGCAAGATGCAATTTCTTATTATATTTATCCAAGTGTAGCCTATCTAAAAACTTAACCCTACATAGCAGAAATTTCTTGCCTAGCAGATCCTTAAAAATATATTGGCAATTTCTTTCTCTAGTGTGGTAATATAGCAAACACCATTCAAATTTTTTCATGATATATTTTAGTGGATATTCCTACTGATACGTACTATTTTTACAAGATCAAAGATATACAACATGACTATTTATCTGCCCAGTCCTTTCTAGATACTGACTACTACGTCTTTAAGCATAACCAATGGCTTAGTTTAATTCACTGGGAGAAGCATGAATAAAATTTACAGATAATATACTTTGAGATAGATACTCAACTTTTTCTGGGTCAGCTATTAACATAAGTTCTTTTCGCACAAACCTATATGATAGAGCATATTCATCATCACTTCTAAGATAATATAAAACTGATTCATTCTTTATAATAACTACTTTTCAGATTTTATGAAGACTTGAACTCCGTATCAGATCAGTTGCTCGCCTTTGATTTTCCATACCCTTTCCATTCTGCATTAGTAAGTAGGTAGTGAATAGTATCACCTTTTTTTAATGCTATTTCATCTTTTCTAACTGGATGCTTATATTTTGTAGATGGTCTAGATTCTACTCATTCTAATGTAATAGCTTTCACTGGTTCAAGTTCCCACTTTTCTAATTCTAGTTCTCGAATAAGACGTATAAGATAATTATTTAGATAATCGATAATCGCAAATGCCTAACCTATACTTTTATCAATTTTGAATTGGAATATATAGATTCAACAGCATCTTGGATTTTATAAAGTATTTTTGTGAATGTCTTGTTAAAACGTTCTGCAAAAACTACTTCTCAATGAAAATATACACCAATCACTCAAATAGTAACATTATGCTTCTTCATCAATCAAGAAGTCTTTCCCATAAATTCATGACTCTCGTTATATTGTAAAAGCTTTAGCTATATAAGAGGATTATTAGGATTATCATATTTTTTTCTGAATGCTCTAGCAACTTCTGAACTCTTCTTTGATATGAGTGGAACAGAAACCTTATATTGAGAAGCGCAGTCTATTATATTAAATACTGCTATATATTTTTTATACTTATAATAATCATGTGTAAGGAATAGTAAATCACATTAGTATACTCAATTTGAGCAGGTTATTTGGCTATAGCTACATCTAGAAATATTCTTCAGAGAAGTTTTATGTATTTAGTATATATATTACTATTTTAAAAAATTATGGCATTCTTTTAGGCAGAAACGATGCCCTTCTTTTTTACATACATCTCTTACCTTAAGTACATTCAGCAAGGATTTAGGATTAGAATAATAGCCAGTTAGGTGATAATATTTATTATGCAATATAATATTTTTTTCGATTCTCTGAGCCTCATTAGGATCTATTTGGATTGTAGGAACTCTTGCTTCTTTACTCATCCTTTTCTCATCTCTCAAAAAGATAGAACTATCTATAAAAAAGAAGATAGAACAGCGCTAATGTCTGAAAATGAAGTATATGAAAATCAGATATAATTCTTAAAGTGCGATTTATATCATAGTGAGCTAGAGATATCTTAATTGTATAAAATAAAAAAGATCTTAAAGCGGGAGATATCTAATCTTAAAAGTCAGATAACAGCATTAGAGATAAAAATCTATAATCTGGAAATGATTGCAAAGTGTAAATTGTTATTTATAACTTTTCGAGAAGATCAGATATCAGAAAAATTATCTAAGCTTCATGAAAAGATATTTCAGCTAAAAAATAGGATTAGTGATCTTATTATAGCCTCATTGAGTAATATACCTGATCTTAGAGGATCCCTTCAATACCATTAACAAGAGATTCTTCATTGTCCTCATTGTCTTCATCATCATTAGATCATAATCAACCTTTATTGAGCAATATAACTTCTAGCTCATCAGGTGCATTAGAAATATAAAACCATACATATGGAATAGATGAATATGAAAAAATTAATTATTATATTACTATTTGAGTAAACCGTTTAAAGTAAGTAGAGCGTACTACTGATAATGAAATAAATTTACGCAGAGTTTAGGATTGGTTAAAAAATCTTGAAGACAATCTTTTACAAGTTAAAAGAATAATAGTTGAGTGTAATAGAGAATTACAAGATATCCAAAATGCTTTGGAAGATGTAGAAACCCTAAATGGAATATTATAAGAGAATCAAGCTAGAATAACAGAAAAGTCTCAATTATTTTCTGGTGGCTCCTTCTAGTAAGAGAGTTTCTATTAGAACTTTACACGAAGAATTCGATTGATCTATTGGGTATTATTATAATTTGAATGAGCAACTTAATAAGGATTTATTGGCTAGTATTTCATCTTTAATACTACCTCTAGTAGAGCCAAAAGAAAACTTATCTCCCCAAGAGATTCACCAATTATTAAAGAAAGAGCATAAGAAAACTTTAAAGGCTATAAGCCTTGCTAATACTGTGAAAAAAAGAGTTCAAGAATTGATACAAGTCATATATAGTAGAAGTCCTTCTTTTCCTCCTAAAATATCAAGTTCTCGTTTAGAATTTGATGATAAAATTTTAGGTAATTTAGGTGATAATACTGATATTTTAGAAGATTCTATGTCTGATTTCTCATCCTATGATGAAGATATAGGAGTTATTAATGATTGGCTAGAAGAGAAGAAAGCTAAATTACTTTAGAAAAATACTTACCTTATTTTTATTTCTCAATTTCAGATTCGCAAGGCTAGGACAATACAAGATTTATGGATTAATATAAGAAGAGATAATCAACAACTGAATGCTTAACTGTGTGAATGTCGAAGTAACAGAAGAGTACTAGAATATAATTGAGATCAGCTTTTTGATAGATATGAGAAATGAAAAAATAAAACACATGAAGAACGCCAGATAATATTTAATTTACAAAAACAAATTTTAGCATTACAGAATAATCTACTTAATATACAATAAATAAGAATGATAGAATACAGACCTATATTATTTTATGGTCGTCCTGAAGAAGATCCAGAAAATTGACTTAGGAATATACAAAGATATATAATAGCTAGTCGAATAAATGTTACACCTAATGCAGGTCAAGTTGCTGAAAGAGAAGAGGCATTTGGATTAGTAGTATCATGTTTTGCAGGTGATACATTGAATTTTTATTTAACTCGCATCAAAGACAAAAATTGAAGATGTAATAATCTCTTAGATAATTTAGGTGTAGTAAACTTAAATGCTGTTCAAGCAATAGGTGCTAGAAATAGTGGTAATCAAATTAGTGGTTTGAATACTGCTGGAGAATTTCAAGGTAAAGCGGAAGCTGAAATTGGTAGAATTGGAGCAGGAGTCGCAACTGGTGCTGATATTATTCTAAATGGAATATAAGATGAAGACTGGTCTATCACAAGTAATGAGTCTACAAATAATGCATTAGTAGCACTGAATGCTGGAGTTGGTCTTCCTACTATTACTATTGCTTCTGATATTAAGCTTGGTCAACTTCTTTACCTGTTTAAAACTGCTTATATAATAGTTGAGCATTTAAAATAAATAGTAGTATTTGGTTAACTCGTACAGGGTGATTTATCAGTTGAGCAATTCTCCACTAGAATTAAAAAGATTGGTAAATTAGCTAAAATGACTTCTAAACAGCAAAGAGAGTAATTTATTCATGATCTGTCTCTGATGAATCAATACAATCTTTGAATGATGACTAAATTTCATAATATATAGGATAATATTATAAAAGCATTGGCTGAAGCGAAAAATTTACATTATCTCAACAGAGTGCATCATCTTCTTTTCCAATTTTTCTGGTATCCAACCCTTATGTAGAAACTAACAGATCAGGGATGATTAAAAATGAAATTAAGAGTTTGGTAAAAAATATAATGGCATTCTCAGAACCCCAATAGCCTTAACAAGTGGCTTCATCGCAATTTCAATCACATTCTGCAAGAACACATAAAAATTTACAAGATGAAAATATAGATAGGTTTTATTATAGATTACAGGAGAAACCTTAGAATTTGTTCCTGTCCCTAATCCTACTTTGTCACTAAAGCCAAAGAAAAAGGTTGAAGTTAATTCTGACGATGAACTTGTTGAGCTCACAAAAAAACAGTTAAACTTACATGTGGCTAAAGCGATTAAAAAAGCTGTGAAGACATAACAGCGGTGTTCTAACTGTAACTAAACTGGACATAATTCTCACAAATGCACTCAGAAGAAGAAAAAGAAGAATAAGTTTAAGAAAGCTAAAATTAATCTCACTACTATAGATTCAGGTTCTGATTTAGATTCAGATTCTAACACTTCATCCAGTGATACATTGTCTAGTGATGGTTCTGATTTTAATACAAGTTCTTCTGATTCTAGAGGCGATATCACTGTTAATATTATCAAGTCAAAAAAATAGTAAGACGTAGTAGAAAAAAGACTCTTCTAGTAATAAAAGTCCTAAGACTGCGAAAAAGCTACGTAAGATAAAACAGAGGTTAGAAGCACTAAAGCATAATTAGAAAAATAATAATGCTAATTCTTTTTAACTAAAGCTGATTAGGAAATTATTTGCAAAATAGTTTGAAATGAGCTTAGTTCTACTCTTCAAGAAGAACTTAAAAAGATCTTCCCTTTGTATATGATTCAAGCCCTTCCCTAGATACTAAGAAGTCAGATCAGGAAAAAACATCAAATCTAAAATTAATGATTTTTTGTCTTTTCAAGAACCAGCTCCTGCAATACCTGACTCAGACGAAGAAGAGATTTTGAATAATCTGATGGAAATTGATTTCATCTAAAAAAGAGAGCCAAAAATAAGTGTTATAATGGTAAAATATAAAATCAAGTGTTTAAAGATTCTAGCCATAACAGTCGACTCTAAAGCTGAGCCTCTCATCATAACAAAAAATATCATTGAATGTATGAAGGCTAAAATCGATAAATCTGAAATACATGATCTTAGCAGTATTGCTACTGTCTCAGTTAAATCTGTTGAAGTTATCCGCAATTTGCCTATTATTCTAGCCTTAGGTTATACTATTTATGAAGATTTTATCATAATGAAATATCACAAGCTGATGCTAATATTTTCTAACCAACTTTTAAAGAAATACAATTGCGCGATGGATTGGAAAACCAATGAACTAAAGATCTCTATTAATGGAAAAGACTATATTATTCCAGTCATCATGCATAAGGTCAAGAATAAGCTCAAGGTGAACTATGCAAATATTATTCCTGAATGTGATGATCTGCTAGCTTTGGACAAGATTTTTCAGAATCCGCAGGACTTAAGCAAAGATAGCACATTAAAAAAAACATGAGTTATGAGGGACTTGAAAAAATGCTATATAGCACTCTTAAGTATAATGCAGAAATCAAGAAGTATTGTGAAAGATTACAGGCACGCTATGATGAACTTTTTAGAGAATAAACAAATTATTTTTCTAATATATTCTTTATATTCACTATATTTTTTATATTTCTTTTAGCTATCTTTTCATATAATGTGAGAATCGGTTGAGATTGGATGAGAGATGATATTAGCTTTACTAATGCAGATTTAAACTTTGATTTCTTCTCTCCAGTCTTTTTTGCCTTTCTACCTTCTTTCAAAACTGAATCAATAAATTTACTAGACTCTATCTTAGCATCATATATTTGTTTTTTCCAGTTCTGCAAAATGGAGAAATATCTTAGTCTTGGATCTCTGACTCAGTCCATCCGCTCACAACATTTATATTAGAAAGTGAAACAATCCCTTCAGAATCAGCTGTTGGCATATGAATTGGTTGATTTTACACAACCCTATTTTTTTCTTCACTTCTTCAGATCTGATAAATGCATTTTTGTGATGTGTGATATTTATCTGTTAAATCTTTTAAAACTTTATCTCTAGGCTTTTTTTAACACATTACATAATCAGCTGGTGAAAAAGAAGGTGCATCACATCTCATATATTGTCTAAGCATAGTAGCAATATTTTTTTATATATCTAATATAATACTCTAAAATAATTTATTAAATAGGATATATAGAAAAAATGTATTATTCTGAATATATAGAATATATAGGATATATTGGAAGATAATATTTCAGATGTATAGGATATACAGAATAAACAGGATATTCAGAAAGAATGTATTATTTTAAATAAACAGATTATGTCTATTATCTCAGAAATTTATTCGTGCATTTTTTTTCTAATATATAATTATACTAATATTATGTCTAATGTGTATATATTGAATGATATAAAAGATAGAGAGTGTAGTTTTTATAAAAAAACTGATTATCAGCTGGGTAGTGCATATAAGCAAGAACTCAAAAAAAAAATTAAGATCCATTACTGAATTTAACTTTGAGATTAATAATCTCAGTGAAAAACTGGTAGATAAATATAATGAGCGAAAAAAAAGGTATTAGCGAAGCTATAGTGATATTAAAAATAAAATTAGCCAATTAAATACATCCAGCGCTAAAGTTAGATCTTAACTTATTTCTGAATGAAAGTCTCATTCTGAGAGTTAACGTGAGCTTAAAACTAAATATACTACCAAAATCTAATCGCTCAAATCAAAGATTAAAGCACTGAAAAAAGAGGGAACTTTGACTCAAAAAGTTTCGTCTGCTGACAAAGTCAAGATTCTCTCTCTTGAAGCTAAAGTACATGAATTAGAAGGTAAGTTAGAGAACATAGATCTAGAGCGTATATATCATAATTTGGAATTAGAACAGGTGTTTTATGGTTCAGATACAGTGGAAGGACTTCTAGAAGAGTCAGTTCAAATAAATTCATCTAATTCCAAAGAGATCGATTCTCTCAGACTTGAATTAAAATGAGCGAATGAGGACCTTAGTTCAAAAGAATATACAATAGAATGTATAGAAAAAGGGATAGTGGCAACAAACATCATATATAAATAGGAGCTAGACTCCTTATTTTTAGCACAATTAAATTTACTGGAGAAAAATGCTCATCTTCAAGAATTACTGTCGAAGAAAGAGCTAAGAGATGCTTCGCATAATAAAGTAGATCCTCTATTTCTGCCTATGAATAATTTACCATAACATGGTTCTGAAGGAATCCTTTTAACTCTTAATCCTTCATTCCAAATAATAAGTAACGCAAAAGTGATATCTTTACCAGCAACTGCTTCTATTATCGTGAGCTCCTTGATGTCACTGA